TTTTGTAATTTAAAACAACGTTTACGAATATGACTAGTACATTTACAAAAAGTACAGAATTTCCCCGCCCTATTATTATTGGAATTTCTTGCAGATTTAAACGCTGTTAAAGAATTAGAACTTCTATGTGCTTGTTCTTCTGTCATACTCATCAGTGAGTTTCGTTTTTACAAGATCTGCAGGTATGAAAGTTTCTATCTGGCTTTTAGGGCAGTTATAAGAGTATTGTATGATTCGAGAATTGAAACCAACAAAAGTGCGGCAGCTGGCTGATCCGGAATATTTTTGCCGATAGCTTAGTCTTTCGACTAAATATTTTTGCCTATAGCTTAGTCTTTCGACTGAGTCCATATGAGAGATGGGCGAGATCATATCATCGTGTTTAGGCATTTTTATTGAATATAATATTCTCACAAGATATAATTTGCCTTTCAAATTGGAGCGCCCAGAATTGACTACCGTCAGATACTGGCAGTAGTCATTTTATTTCTAACGTAGATAGATGATCTGAGAGTCGTCAGTGCATAGATTTATTACAGCTCATGCTTGTTTATTCCTCATTAGAAATTCATCGTCAGATTTAGAGGGGGGGGCAAGAAAGATTATCCAACCCATCATGCATTAAAAGCCTTAAGTAGTGTAATTTTTGGAATTCAGTTTCGTTATTTGCATTTATTCTTTAAGACCTGATTGTGTCATTATTAATTCTTGTTTATCGGTTTCAGAAAGTTTAATGTGCACAGTTTTTAATTTTAGTTCCGGGATTTATGGACTCATAATCGATGAAGATAAGGATAGCAAACTTTGCTTGCCTTTTGTTCGTGGCAGGTTAAATCTTCGAAATAAAATCTTGTGGTTAACGGTATTTCATTAATAATAAGCGAATGTTCATTAATCACATTTATTTGCTTTTGACTTAAATGATAAGAAGCGACCGATACATTAAAGGTATATACTAGCTCAGAAAAGGGAGTAATAATATTTAAGGAATAAAAATTATGAGATATTGTTTTTGGCCATGATCTGGATGCCTCGGCATTGCTAGGATTATACTGGAGGTGAGTTATAAAAGAGTTTTCAAAATGCGTGATTAATTCACAACACGTATATCATTAAAATCTGGTCCTTGCTTATACCATCTTTTACTAAAGTGTTTTCACCAAATATCATAATTGATATTTCTTGATATTGGGATTGAAGTGCTTTTCATGTTCATTGGTAACATGAAGTGATGAAAAAACATAATTTCACATATACCAAGTTTCCTCTCACTGTTGAGGTTTTCTCTTTACACTTCTGGGATTTTATTGTTGCTAATAATATGTATAAGAATGATCTCTTCTCTTTGATAATTTATCAAACAGGTAAACTGTACTGCTTCATCCAATTACCAGTTTATACCAGTAAGCATATATAACATTTATATACAGGTAGTTATCAAAATAATGGCAACACACTAGATTTATAAGGAATTCTTTATTAATATAGCGTAGGACCGCTTTTGGCATGTAATACAACTTTGATTCGTCTGGGAGTTGAATCATTAAAAGTGCTGAATAGTCTGTTGAGGAGTATTGCACTACTCTTTCATGGAGATATTATGAATGTTCCGAGAGAGATGCTGGTGGAGAATATCGATTCTGGATTGAACGTTCTAAAACAGACCATAACAGCTCCATTATAAAGAGGTCGGGGGGAATGTGCGGGTCAAGGTAGATGTTTCACTTTATCCTCATGCTCATCAAACCACGATTGGACAAATCTCATTGCATGAATAGAAGCATTATCAATCTGGAAAATTCAATTTCCTGCAGGAAATAAAGTTCGTATCATAAGATAGACCTGGTCAGCTAAACCTTCTCTATACTTCTCTCCAGTGATCCTTCCTTGCAGGGTTACAATTAGACTAGCAGAAAACCACGACATGGCTGCCTCTACCATGACGGATCCACCTCCATGCTTGACAGTTGGAAGGAGACAGTCACGATCATGCGCTTCTGCAGGTGTCCTTCAAACGTGCACCCGTTCTGTTGTAGGGAAAAGTATGAAAGATGATTCATCTGACAATATAACTGTCTTCCACTTATCAGTCGACCAAATTTTATGGTTGTGTCACCATTTTAGATAATGTTTGGCATAAACATGTGTGACAAGTGGCTCAGTAATAACTGCTCTGCCATAAATATCCTGTTTATGAAGGTGCCTCCTAACTATAATTATTGACACTGGAGAATACAGATGCTGATTGAGCTCTGCAGTCACTTTGGCTGCACTTTTCTTTCTTAGACTTTACAATCCGCTTCAATAACTGTCGTTCTTTCATCTAGCTTTTCCTTCCATCCACTATTTTGCTTTGCTGAGCTTGTCTTTCTGCACTGCATGCTGTCATGACTTTTGACACCGTACCTCTAGAAATAAGCTAATAGCTCGGATGCTTCAGTCACAGTTGCTCCAGCTAGTCGGGCTCCTACAATATGGCCTCTTTGAAACTCTGTGAGGTCTGAAATTTTTCGCTTCTGATGAAAATTCAAGGTGTATAAAATTTCAATAAAGTTATCTTATACTACTATGATATATACTTCTTATATATATAAAAAGTCCTCTTAGCAAGAATTCTATTTTATTACTTAAACACATTCATCGGTGTTACTTTTATTCACAGGTGTTTCTATTATTTTGATAACCAGCTGTATTTCATATTATAACATATACCGTATTTATGCGAATCTAATGCGCCATCGAATCTAATGTGCATCCCCATTTTAAAACTTCAAATGATAAAAAAATTGTTTGTCGGTGAATGTAATGCGCATCAATGATATGAGGAATTTATTGAATCTTATTTTATACAACAATGGATTTGTATATAAACTATCAATTAATGGTATGATAATTTTATTTAAATTTAGATACCATATTTTATACAACAATGGATTTATACATAAAGTAGCAGAACATAGAATTAACCTATTAGTGGGCTATTGTCATGTGAAACAATCATTGTTAATTAGCACTACCGTATATACGGTACCTATCGTAAAATATGAACATGAAATAAATCGTAACATTTCTATCTAGCTAACAGTTTCTACAATCAGTGATTAATAGTAAACGTCTTTATTCACTAATGTTTTCATCACTGGAATCCTCGCAGCTCTCTTCGTCAGAAGCAGATTCATTTCTTCTTTCCTCATCATCGTCATCGTCATCCTCGGCGTTCCAGAGCACGTCATCGTCACTCTCACTGCCATTCAATGAATTTGAAATGCAGCATTTCTTGAAAGATTTCACAATCATTGGTGCTTCGATGCTTTTCCAGGCAGCAGAAACCCAGTGTGCAACAATGTGCGGTGCAGCACGCTTAATTTTTCCTGTCGGGGTCAATACACGGTTTGGCTCACAAAACCATTTTTCGTACTCCGCCTGAACGTACCCCTTAAAAGGTTTATTTATACTAACGTCCAGGGGTTGTAACACAGACGTCATCCCTCCAGGAATGATAACAAGATCACTGCCTAGGCTGTGCATCTTCTTTTTTACGTCGTCGGTGAGATGACCACGAAATGCGTCCAGACAAAGCATTGATGGTGGATTAGAGAGCCCACCGGGACGGCGTTTCCATACATTTCGGAGCCAATCAAGCATTAATGATTCCGTCATCCACCCCTTCTCTTGCTTTCTTGGTTTCGAATCAGGACATCATCTGGGAACAGCTTTTCATTCTTAGGGGTTTTAGGGCATGTTTTCCATTTGAAGATTAAGAAAGGGGGAAGTTTGCACCCGTCTGCTGTTATTGCCAGCATCACTGTTACGCGTTACGCGTTGTTTTTCACATCCCGAAGTTTTGATGATAACTTCCTTAGTCCCCTTCTCCGTAATGGTGTAGTTACGAGGCATATCAAACCAAATTGCCGTCTCGTCAGCGTTGCCAATTTGCCCCATTGAAAAATTCTTTTCCTTCCGAAGTGTGATGACATACCGCTGAAATGTTAGTATTTTTCCCTCAAAATCTGCAGGAAGCTTTTGGCATATTGTTGTACGGCGTCTTAGAGATAAACCCATCCGCTTCATAAACCGATCCACCCATCCACGGCTAGCCTTAAACTCTTGTTTCGGTATTCCAAGAACTTCAGCCTCCTCTTTTGCTTTATTTCTTATGGTGTCACTAGTCACAGGTTGTCCATTCTTCCTCCTTTCACGTACAAATTCCAAAACTTTTTCTTCAATTTTAGGGTGTCTTCCTTTGCGAGGGCCAGTGTATTTCTTTCTACTAGCTTTAGTTGCAAACAGTGCCAATTTCTGTTGCCGCCACAAGCGAACATTGCTGTCAGCTACGTTGAACTCTCTCCCTGCCTTTCTATTGCCATTTTTTTCAGCATAAAGAATTACTTTACGTTTGAAAGTTTTGAAAGTGGGCAAACATTCTTCTCTGTTTGCCCTCCATTTCGTGACTACGTACTCTGCAGTTTGTATCCTCTATGCAATAATGTGTCAACGATAAATGTAACGGTAAATGTAGTTGAGAAATTTGGTTGACGTCATCGGCGAACTTTGCACTCGAATCTAATGCGCACCCCAATTTTGAATACTACATTTGTCCAAAAACGATGCGCATTAGATTCGCGTAAATACGGTATGTTCTCAGAAATAACCAAAAGAATGGTTTTCTTTTCTGCATAATTTTGATTTGGGACTTTTTAAGAGAAAATTTAAATTTAGAAAATCGCACTTGATATTTCTGTTTTATGTATGGTTGGCTTTTTATATAACACATAATATTTCTCTCCTATTTCATTATAACTGAATCTGTGTGGTTATTGTGTTTTAACTTTAGTAAGATATTTTATTGTTTAATTATCATTGCTTCCAACATAACACAAATCATTATATTTTGGCATTAAGTCATAGATTTCGAATTTTTTTGTTTTGATTTTTGTCTATGCATTGTTCAAAAAGGAATTATCACACGCCAATCAGTGTAATCATTTTACTAATTACAGGAATCTGACTGGGCTGGTGAATCAATAAAGACTTCTTCCGTATCTCATCCATTCAGCCCTCCAGCGTTTTATGCAGGACATCCAAATCATGATGGTACAAATTATTCCCTCCCCATGAGCTGTGCATTCCCTAGCTCTGCAATAGCTACCACTGCTACTTCTTTACCTCTACCAATACCTGGAGCTGCTTCTCAGCCAGTTGATGAAGTGATGTCCACTTCACCCACACATTGTCCTGCTCCAATGGCAGTATACCCATATCCCGTGTACACTGTACCTGGCATGTATTTGGTATGCAGAGATGGATCCACCTTACCGTTAACTTGGGGATCTCAGGATGTAATGAATGGCAGTGAAATCTCTTCTGGTATGTTTATCACTTAGTATTGAGATTGTTGGTATTCTGCTGTTGGCTCAACTCACCGCTTAAAAAAGGGCCAAAATTTTATGCCAGATAATTTGCGTTTACCACCGTTTTCATTTCATTTGATTAACTTGGGTTTTTTTTATGTTCGATCGGCATTTGGTATAAAATTTTGAATCTTATTAATCTGATAAGTAAGCTACTTTTGTCAAAACCAAGCCATTGATTTATTAAATAGCTCATTAACTATTTTTAAAGAATTAAGATCAGATGAATTCTTTGACAACATTATCTTAGAAGCTGAAAAATTGCTAACGAAATTAGACGTGGGAAAAAATTTTGAATTGACTACACCATGTCATTGTGTTCAATTTAAAAAGCGAAGTTTTTCTCATGAAAGTATAGATAACCTATAGTGCACTGGAGCTGAGATTTAACCTATTCAGTTATGATTCTTTGAGGTTTTATAACCCTGTACCCAAACTTAGACATGTGTAAAAATGAATTACTGGTACATTGTAAAGATCTGGAAAACGTCTTAACAGATGGTCATTCCTCCGATCTTATTGCTTTAGTATTGGATGATGAAATAGATCTTATTTCTTCATTTTAAAAAAAGAAAAGGTCTAGCTGATGTTCTTAAATTCATTACCTCCCTTAACATTAGGCCAAATTCAAGTGTTGCTTTAAGAACTTTTCTAAACCTGCCCATAATTATTACTACTGACAAAAGATCTTTTTCTAAACAATAAAAAGTTAGTCAATTCTCTTAATGGGTTTCCAGTGTAGGCCATTGAACGGGAATTCAGTAATAAATTAGATCTAAAAGAAGCTATTAGTTTTCTCAAAAGAAAGAAGGGGGGGGAAGAGTTTGAAAGCAATTATTTTAATTTAGGTTTCATTAGTTCGAAAGTTTGCGTGTTTTTAATAAAATTTTTTTGTAAATATTGTAAGAGTGCTATTGTCTTATTTCAATTTGATTAGACCGTATTTTTCTGGTCATTGTAATTTTTTTTTATAAATCTGTTTTCTTTTATTTTTAAAGTTTTTAAAGCTTGGGAGACAGCACTTTTGATGTTTGCCTATGGCAGCAAAATCACTAGATCTGACCCTGCTAGGAGTTTATTTTTTAAGGCCTTTTGGTAAGTTGCTTTGCCAAAAAGCCTTTTGTATCAGGGCTGCCCTACCTTTTTATGTATGTGAACTCTTGATTTTCTTTGTCATAAATTTCCAGTGAACTGGAGAAATATAAAATAATATAAAAGCAAAATAATTTTTAGGTATATTTTTGTTTGAGCAGAATGATTTTTGCATTTTGTTTTAAAACATTTTTTATTCCTTTTTTGATGCCTATCATTTGCTGAATGGATAAGGCCACTGAACACTAGTAATTATGAAAGTGATTTTGTTGCAGGAAAAAAGGCTAAACTTGCAGGTCAATCATAGGAGGAAGAGAGAAATTAAATGGACTTTTTGTGGCCTGGGATTAAATTAGCAGTTTTATGAAAAATATTATAGCTGAGAATTTATAGTACTATTTCAAGGAAAGGAAACTTTTACCGGATATCAGTGTGTAATGAAACTAATTTACGCGTAACTAAATTAATATTGTATTTTTAAAAACCTGAATTTTTTTTTATCCTCATGTCAACATGATTTTATGAAAAATATCTGATTGTAACAAAAGATTTCCGTCAAAAAACGTTTTTAATAAAGTTTAAAAAAAAAAATGAAAGCAGTGCCTAGTGCGGGTAGAAACAATCTATGAAACACCACCCAAATGTGTGATTTTTCTGCCAATGTTTTGGTGGTTTTTCAAAGCCTTCAGCCCAGAAACTTGGTGTCCGCTAGTCCCAAAAACAGATCAACCTCATTTTGAACATCCTGTGCAGAATGGAAGATAGTACCAGCAAGATGTAGCTGGAGCTATGAAAATATGTAGAAGTCCGAAGGAGCGATGTCAAGGCTATATGGTGGGTGTGATAAAAAATCACATTCAAGTCTGTACAGAGTCCAGCCAGTGAATGCAGACATATGTAATATTGCATTACATTGATGGAACATTACCTATTGCGCCGGAACTCGGTTCGATGTTTTTCCTTGATAGCAGCATTGGCATGGACTAGCATGTCACTGTATACCTTACTGTTGGGGTTTTACCTTTTTCCAGATACTCTTTGTCTAATACCATGACTATCCCACCAGATATAAAGCATGATCTTTTTGTTACCCAAACTGCATGCAGACCAACTCCCTTTTGGCCTATGTTGTTGAAGTAAATTCCCTTTTCATCTCAAGTGATGATCCGATCCAGAATTTTGTCCTTTTGCTGATATTCGAGCAGATTAGTGCAGGTCCGAACTCGCCTGTCCTTATCTGCTTGGGTGAGCTCATGCGGCACCTAGCGATTGAACTTGTACATCTAGTTTATGCGACTAACTTGACTAATGGACATGTCACTAGTGTGTAACTCTTTAGCAAGCTCTCGAGTGGTTGCATACTGATCTTCTTCCACAAGTTTTCGCAGGTGGGCCTCGTCAATATTAGTAGGCCGGCCAGAGCACTCTGCTTACTGAATGTCATGCTCCTTGTTTTTGAACTTTTGTACCAAACCTTTACAGTCTCATATGAAGGTTCTAATCTGTTAGCTTGTTAGTTCCATTTTAGACATCTTGTACTTCGTATTAACGATATTTTTTACAAATTTTATAACATGGTGTTTTAAAGCAAGTTTCTTTCTTTCAAATCAAAAAATCATTTGACAGATTAAATAAGCCTATGTGAACTGTTTGCGCAGATGATATTTGCAGTAGCGGGAAACTTTCATTAAAACCTGATACATATTGGTTTGCGAAAAATCTGGTATTGACTTCTGCGCAATAATTCTTAGCCATTTCACAGATTTTGCATTTGTTCTTTTATCATACTATAAAAGGCTTTGAAAATGGTCATATATAAAACAACTGTAAATATAAACAGCAAAAGATGCAGATTTGTGATTTTGGCTTGATGTCAAATAGTTTATAAAGAACTTTAATTGTAACAATGAAATAAAGGGAATAAACAAGATCAATTTTCTCTTAAAGGAAAAGCCACACTGATAAAGGTACCATGGCATTTATAAGCTTTTTAATGCCACACGAGCTGAGTGATATTGCACATAAAGTTATCTACAGGATTTTTACTTTGACAATTCGTAATTTCTTTTTTTTTGTTATGCATAAGGTTGATAGTTTTCTGTAACTACAAATTTAGCTATAGTTCAGATTCTGGTGCTACATGGATGCTTTTGTTATTTCTTCTATGTGTAATATAGATATGATTGAATTTCTCATAGAAAGTCTTCCTTGCAGGCATCCTTTCTATGAAAGAGGTGGAACGTTTTCTAGGAAGGTTTATGCTACATAGTTAGGTTTGGATATGATGGCAAACTTATTTTTAGAAATTAGATCTAAAAAATTATTTTTGCTTTTCAATGGCAAACCAGTTAGTTGCATCTTGTATTTCATAGTGTTTTTACATTATGATGATGATAACAAAAGAATTTGGCTTCAGCATGATAAAGCCATGGCCCAGTTTCAGAAAATTTAACAAAACTGAAATATTTCATTTAGGTTTGGTTTATGTGATTAGGGCAAAAGCTTGAGGGCTATCTGCCTAAGGAGAGGGATGCTTTCGTGGAGGACTTTCTAAGAGAAACTGGCTTGTATACATGTTACACACGAGGAAAACTATGAAAACGTCCATGCAGCCAGCCCATTTGCAGATTCGAACCTCAGACCAACCTACCGGCGTTCAGCAATTTTACCTCTCAGTCACTAGTGAGCCTTATTTCATTTAGGCATTTTTCTTAACTCCAGATTGTGTACTACAATGTTTTGACTGCTCTGATTACACTATTTGTTTGAAAGCGATTTGATGAGAGTGGTCGAAACTTGATGATTACTTGTTGAAATTTGAAAATGATGCATTGCTTTTATTTTTGGATGGAGTAGAAATGTAAAAGGCATTTCAGCAAGAGTACAAGGTTAAACTTCTTGCAATTTCTGCCAGTTTGGCACTTCAATTTTTGTATCTGTCATGTGAACACATTACAGTTAGTAATTATGAAATGTTAGATGAAAGACCTAGCATCATAATTGTGACCATATCTAACAAATATGGAGAAGCTATGCAAAACAATTCAAAGTGCTTTACCTTTGATTGAAAAGTTTGTCAAAGCAGCAATTATTTTTAATGATTAATTAATTAAATATAGGTTATTTATTTAACACTGAAAGGCTGCTGTCTCATCATGCTAGCTGGTCTTTTGATAACAGTACTGCAATAAGTGAAAATGTTATCGAGAGTTTAAAATTCTCAGTTTGTCATTGTTCAGGACAACTGAATATTTAAGAAGCACATTGCAGCAAATTCTTATGAAAAATATGCATTTGCATTTTAAAAACATTCATCTAAAAGAACTACTCTAACTAGCAGATCAATTGCAGCCAAGAATTTTATTAACTATGTGTTAGAAAATTAAAGCACTGATCACAAGTTTTCAAGAAAAATTATCTTAAATGTTGATAACGCAAACAGTAATTGATGAAAAAAAAAGTGCATTTTTCAACTGAATAAAAAACAATAATTGCCTGATTGGGTTGCAGATGCTATTTGAGTGATTTATGAAAAGCTACTGTTTGTGCAGTGATCAGTATTTGATGACAATGTGTTTTGGGGGCTGTGTTTGTGGAAGAGAGTGCCAACAGAATTGTGAAAATATTTTTCAGATATTACATTCCATACACAATTGTTCTAAAAAAAAGGATTTACAGTTTTGAAATAAATAGCATGTTTAATTGCAAAATTATATCTTAATTATTATTCGATTCTCATATGTTAAAAATCAGTTGTTTGATAGAAAGAACTAACAAAATTTTGTAAGTATGGTTTTATGTAGAAATTTTTTATAGTTTTTCTTACATATATTACATTTTATTATGTCTTTTATTTTGAAGCCTTCTCTTAAAGAAATTTTGATGAATGATCTAGCTTAAAATAATTGCTAATCCAGGATTTATATATTTTAAAGGTGTTCCGAGTGTTTTTTTCAACACACCACCAACTGGAATGTCACCACCCATTACTTCCTGGATTCCTAGTGCTGTGCCCAGCTATGGTTCTACCTGGCCCCCCACCATTACACCTACTGTTACGTTTTCGCCACCCCCATCGCCACTAGAGATGAATGCTTACCAATCGAATACTCTCTCCAACTTGGAGTCCTCAATCTGGCATCTATATTCCACCACCAACTCCTGTTGCATACCGTATGCCATCCCGACCATTACAGCAGGAACCACATCAAAATTGAATGAGCTTCTGTCAGAGTTCCACTGAATTAATTTTCTTGATAACTAACAACTTTTAAGTGCTGTTCTAAAACTTGTGTGTCAAATGTTAAATGGACTGAATTTTCTTGCTTCGAAAGGAAAATTTCTTTTAAAATTATTTGCTACACAAGTTTATAAGATTTTCATTGGTAGAATAGTTTGGTCAGTATTAATGAAATGTCTTTTATTCTCTTCTGTTGTGTGGAATTTTAAATGGGATACTGAAGCATTTAAACAATGTTGATTTTATTGCCTCATTGAATACCTGTTCCTGTTTTTTCTTTCCTTCCAATAAATCGGTTCCTAATGAACAACTGCTGAAAGTGCCCAGCATTTTGAATGCTAGACCTTTGCAGACAAATTTTTTGGAGGGTTATAAAAGATTTAATCAGCGTGAAAAATTTGCACTTTCATTGGTACATTTTTGTTGAACCTAATTAAGTTGATATGAAAATTTGGGTACTGCAATTATTAACTATGCTTTACAGCTACATATATAAATACAAAGCTTATTTTCCTTAGAGCATGTTAAATTTCTTAATTATTCTAAAAATTCTTTTGAAAACAACTAAAATAAATCCTAAATTGTTGTTAATTTAGAGATTTAAACGGAACCAAAATCACATGCTCTAAGTTCCCAAAATTCTGTACCATTATTTAACCAAAACTAATAATTTTAATTTTAAAGTTCTTTTCTATTTCTTTTGGCAATAGAATTATATTTTAAAAATCATTGAATGCATAGAAAAACAAATTGGGTGTCTAATACATCGAAGTTAACCAAATGAGCTTTGAAATATTAGTATTTTTCTGATTTTAATGGCCTTTATTATGGAAGTAAATTTAGATCTTAGTTTTAATGACTCTGCAGTTTTTGTACTTTGAAAAAGATCTCTAGTTTTAAAAAGTGGATCTAGAGTTTTGCAGATGATTAGATTTTTATGGAATTCAGCATCAGTTTCTTCCAATTCTTCTCAATATGTGATTGTAATGTGAGAATCTTTTCTTTCTTAAATTTTTAGGATGGAAATTTTACTTTTTTTCGAACTCACTGAGGGTTTTATTCACAGTTTATTTTAATCGGTGAAATTAAATTTTCCTTCATAAATTGTATCATGGAATTAAATGACTGGTAGCCTTTACATTACCACATCACTGTTCAAAACCTGGGCATCATGGGCATTTGGTGTATTGTAAAAGCTTTAAATTGTGTTTGATCTGTAGCATTCTTGTTATAAAAAATCATTCATAAAAATGGCTGTGTGTGCTATTGTATTATGTATCTGTGATACCAACTTTGATGGCATTATTTTCATGCTGCAAAATTTCCTGTACTGAAATTGCATTTGACATCAAATTATTTTTTCCCCCTCTCATGAACTAAGGCACAAAGTCTAGGTGTTTTACTTCCAGAAATGTAATAAATATTTGTCATTTTCATGTTATTGTGTCTTTATTTACTTTGCTTGTGGTGTGTGAGTGAAATAAAATACACTGAAAAAAACAACTGGTTTTTGCTCTGATTATGTAACAGACCATCAACAACAGTGGAGTAGTGAGCATAACTAACGCCCGGGGCTAAATACCTTTTTGGCATCCCTTTCCCCGAAAAACAAAAACAATGATATGATAAAAATCTTGTTTGGAGACCATTTGGCACCCCTCTGTGAGCGGCGCCTGGGGCATCATACAGCCCCTTGCCCCCCTCGCTATGCTGCTGATCAGCAAAGCCCTTTTTATTATAAAAATTTTATCAATACATGGAAGGAAATTCCAAAGGTTGGATGCAAAATATTGGCAACACATTAATAGTTTTGAAAAGACTTTCTTACCTCTATATTTTGTACCTACCGTAATAAAGAAATGAAAGGGCTAAGAGCAATGCACATACTTCGGGACTCTTAATAAACTCAGGGCTCTGTCAGCTAGGCCAAATCATTCTCTGAATGTATAGTGTAACATTTTTGCACTTCAAGATAAAAGGTTGTTATTAGCCATATTGATATGATGCATTGCATTTTTCTAAATGCTCATGCATGATAGCATATTTGCATTAATTCTGATAAAAGCAGTTTTCTTTGTGTAATTTTTTAGCTAAAAATATGCTTCAATAAATTGTAGTACACCTTCTTCTAACTTCTGATGGTACTATTCTTAATAGCTTAAAGAAGTCATGAATCTCATTTTATAAATATGAAAATATGTAATGTGAATATGCATCAATTTTCTTTGGAGAATTTGAAAGAGGTAAATGAATGCATATAACCCACGTGTGCTTTGCCATTTCAGGTAAACAACTTAAAAGTTGTTTAACTAAACAAAACAAAATTTAACTAAACAAAATTTTGAAGCTTGAAGCCCATTTTCAGAAATTAATTAACCAAGCAGCCGAACCCAGAATCATATCCCGGACAAAGTATAAGCAATTGTAGGATATACCAGTCATTTGTTGGGCTGAAATTTGAATAGCTATCATTAAAAAAGAAAATTAACATGTACAGGGTTTGGACAAAAATATGGAAACACCTTTAAAAAACATGTTTCTTTGCTTAATATGGTGTAGGAAACCCGTTGGCATCCAAAACAGCTTGCAGTCTTCTCGGAATGGATAAATACATTTCCTGTATGTTTTCCAAGGGAATATTATACCATTCTTCCTGCAAAACGGTGGCAAGTTCAGATAACGATGTTGGCAGTGGATAACGAGAACGCACTTTCCGTTCCAATGTAGACCACAAAGGTTCGATAATATTCAGGTCTGGTGACTGTGGTGGCCATGGTACAAAGTTTGTACCATGGGATGAACTTGATCGGCCAAAATGTTCACATAAGTCTTGGCAGTCATGTGCCCTGACACAGTCATCATGGGGCTAGCAGAGAACCACGATATGGCTGCCCAAACCATAACAGAACCCCCGCCATGTTTCACTCTTGGCAACAAGCAGTCTGTATTATAAGCTTGAGATGACGTTCTCCAGACGTAAACTCGGCCAGAAGTGGGAAACAATGTGAAAGAAGATTCGTCAGACCATATTACTCGCTTCCACTGCTCTATATTCCAGGCTTTAAGACTTAAACACCACCTTTTCCTGTTACGGGCATTAGCATCACTGATGAGTGGCTTCTCAATTGCAGCACGGCCAGCAATTCCCTGTTTATGAAGCTCCCTTCTAATTGTTGTGGTACTCACAGGGTTCGGTAACACAACATTCATTTCAGCAGTAACTTTTGCAGCTGTGGTCTTCTTATTTTTCGTCACAATTGCCCTTAATGATCGTCTGTCACGATCACTCATAACACACTTTCGTCCGCGCTGTGATTTAGCAGATGATGTTTTTCCGCTTTTCAAATATGCGGAATAAATCTTCGATACAGTACCTCTTGAAACACTAAACACCTCGGATACCTTGCTTACGGAAGCACCTACCATACGTGCTCCAACAATTTGCCCACGTTCGAAGTCTGTTAACTGTGACATAATGCAATGACAACCTCACATAAGTTCTCCGACAACAACTGAACTGTTTAGCACATTTACCAAGTTGTATAGGTGGCGTCAGTAGTCCAGAACGCCACCGCCACCTACATATTTCATTAAAATCAATCTTTCTTTTCAAACATGCATTTCACAAGGTGTTTCCATATTTTTGTCCATCCACTGTATGTATCGCAAAGAATTCAAATTTTGAAAATGGGTACTTACAAGGAAATTTATTACTACTTTTTGTATGGGAGAAAACTGGTTGTTATATTTGTTTTAATAATTATTATTTAAAGTGTACACCCATAAAATTATAGCTCATTTTCTTCGGTAACTTTGCCTTTGGAAGTTTAGTTAGTTTTTAACACTGGTTTGTTTTACGTTCCAGCTGAAGTCGATTAACATTTTGAAATTAATCTTCTCTTTATTACATTATTCCCATATCCAGAAGGAAATTCTCAGCGTTCCTCATTTAAAGATAAAGCATTTTATGGAAAGACAATCAAGACTGAATCCGAAAAATTAACCTTAAGGACTTACTACACTGGAATGTTTTATAACACCTTTATAAAACCTACTAATTAATTCAATGTATTTCTTGCCATTTGATTGGATAAAATTTGATAATTCATTCAAGATTAGGCATTATCTTCCTCGAGGAAGAGTGAAATGTGCCGTTTACAAAGTTAGAAAAATTTTGTGCTTGGGAAATAAAAATTTTCTTTTCTGTCCATAGCTTCTAGAAAATATTTTGTTATACTTAGTTTGATGTGAAATACTTTTCCAAAGATGTATAGTGAACTCAGCAATTCTTGGAGTTAATGTCATTTTAGTTCGATATATACTTTTCTAAACAGTCTGAAGATAATTCTCATTGTTTCCGTTATGCAAATTTCATGTGTTAAGACAAAAATTATTGCCACTCCACTTGTAGGAAATATTTGTTGCTAACATCATGCGAGTGGAATCGAGTGGAAGAAAGGCAAAGCAGTGTGTCTTGGATAAGTCTTTTCTTTGTCAAATAAGGGCACAATTATCCACAAATTTGAATAAGAGAGCAGAGTACAATGATTTTTTTTTTTTTTTTTTTTTTTTTTTTTTTTTTATAATTGGCATCTCGAAGCATTGCATGTAATGCTTCCCTTAACATGTAACATTTTATTCTGGGAAAACTGATTGGCGAGAAGAACTGAAAGAATGTAGAAACAGTTCTTGAGAAGTATTGCCACTATGTGAAATGCAAGACCTTTAATTTATTTTCCAAGCGTTTTCGCACGTAACAGACTCTCGAGTATTTGCATTCGGCTAATTATATTATTAATTAAAAAAATAACTTTGGTCCATATACTATAAAGCATTATTTTGCTTTTTAAATAGGTCAAATTGGTAATTTTTGTGAATATTTGCAACTTTATCATTAGTAGAAGTGTCTTCAAACGCTGCCATGTGTAACGTGGATACGGGCCAGTTTCCCTTTCCACGGGCATCTCTTCCCTTCCGCATTGTGCCTAATGCGAAGCATATAATAAATAAATAAATCGTTGTATGGGGCGTTAAGTGGATAAAGATTCATTTATTTTTCAATCTTCATAACTTTTATATTTTAGAATTTTTTCAGTACTTTATAATTTTCTGAAATTTTCGTCACGCGTATTAATCTTTTTTGAGGTGTTTGTCTGTAATTTGAAGTCGCCTGATCACAATTTTCTTGTTTAGATTGATTTTTTAAAAATTTGTAATGGAACTTTTTTTAAAGTGTTATACTACACCTTAAATTATTTAGCTTTATTTTTTTAAATGCTAGTTCTGTGTTATCTTCGCTGGATGCAGTAATATATAATGTGCCCAAGCAGGATCAATGGAAGCGGGTCTGAAGGGCCTGTTCTACAAGCGATTGCTATCCAAAATGAGGTGCCGTACGTATGCTTAGTCTTAAGATATAAAATTTCATCACTAGATAAGAGTTCATAAAGTAACAGTTCAGAAGAAATTATAATAGGAATTTCAGTTGTATAAAGCATATTTAAAACATAACCTATTTTCACAATGAAATTGAGTTTTATTAAACATCAAATGTAATTAGAACTTCTGAGACTTTTGTCATGCCTTTCTGTTTCTTCGGAAACTATTTGATTATTTATTTTGAAACATCATTAAATGCCGCACTCTTTGATCTAAAATTGATTGCTCAAAACATTGTTGAAAAATTAATGCGTTTTGATCGTATGTATAATATTAACAGTTTATGCTACTAATACAGTTCATTTGCGATATAGAAACGAACATCTATAAATATTTAGGATTTTTTTAAAAATTAAAGTTGTATTTCCGTATTATGCGGTAGGAAGTCTATCATTCGAAATGTCAGTTTTTTTAACAAATTCTTAAAAACTTCAGAAAGAAAGAGTTTTAAAGTCCTTAACAAAGAATAACCTTTAACTTGAGAATGATTTGAGAAGAGGGCTGATTTCCTACATTAAGAAAGAAGAAATTAAGTTAAACTTATTTTTTAATTCCCTATACAGATAACAATAATTAAAAATGCGTACCAATAATGATATTTATTGAATGCCAAAACCAATTTTTTGAAAAAACATCGAAAGTAATTTTAAATATCGGAAAGTCACAAAACAGTATTGCGTTGCGAAGTATAGTTATTTTTAGTTTTATTTATTGCGTGCATAAATCGATTCTGAACCTAATATTTTTTTTAATATTATGCTTTTTTAAATGAGCAGACAGTAGCGGATTTATGAAGGAGATATAATTTTAAACGCAGGTTTATTATTTTTTAAAAAGGAATTAATGATGTAGGTGCCCTTCGCGGCTACAGCTTTCGTTATTCCATAAACGTGTCTTTGTGCTGCTCCTTTTTCTTAAGAAAAGGATATAACTGGTAATAAAATTTGTCTTATCTGATTTGTACCCAAAATATAAAGAAAACTGAAGCTTAAAAACAAAGAA